CCCCCCCCCGGATCCGCCCTTGAGGAGACTAAAAACGTTGTTAATGCGCTTTAAGCTTGACTGTCCCTTAAACTTTGAAAAGTTTACAACAAAATAACTAGTAATTAAGGTAACATTGTCTTTTGTCTATTTGTTAACAGCGTACTCCCATCCGTACGTGATTTCGTTCAGTGAGAGGGCTATTGATATATTTGATTCTAATAGTGCAGAATGGCTACAGACGATCCCCTTGAGGAAGGTAACATCCCTCGACTATCTCCCCATTCTGCTGTCGTAGCGCTGCTGGTAGAGCAATCAGTGTCTCTCCTGGTGGTTCACCAAGAGCTGTGGTAGTCGGAACCCATTCCTTACTTATACCCAAAGTCGTTCTCAATCATAGCACGCGCGGAATCGTACAACTTTCCTTCGCGACAAATAAAAATTTGATTGACGTCGCTCAAAGTGATTCATGACATTGTCAGAAAACCAACGTTTTCAAGGGCAAGTGCCTATGGATTGTCATGGAAACGCCTTGATTTACTTAAACCTTGAGAAGCGCTTTAACTAAAAGGGATTGTTGTTGGTGTCATTGTCGCTACGACTTACTATTTCTGCATATCTTGTGTTGTTCTCTGCACAGTGCCATTCTTTAATAAACGAAGGGTCTCTCAGCTTATGTACAGCATCTGAACAACCTAACCTTGTATACTTGAAGAATAAGTTAGATGATGGTAAGTCCAGTTGGTTTTGACTTGTTCACTAGCAACCTAAGAAGTCACGGAGCTTCAGCTTTGTACGATGAATGTGGAGTTATTCTGTAGATAGTCAACATCAAACCATTATTAATTGGTATTATTTATCCATTATTATTTTAACAGAAGATGAGTTAATTATTCCTGATCCAACCAAAGGAAAAAAGGCATTAGCGGCGGTATTGAGATTGAAAAACAAACCACGGTGAGTGAGTGATACACATCAATGCCTTATAATGGCCAAAGAACAGTCCTGTTTACATCTGTTTATTTATTCACACACACAACCGTTTTACAAAATTTAAATAACTTGAACTATTAATCATAAATAGAGCATCATGTTACTCATGGAGAAAAAAATGCAAACATGAAAAGAAAAATGGATGTGTGTGTGTGGTTGTTGATTTAACTAGATGTTACAGTCAAACCAGCTCTGGCGTTCTTATCAAGGTCGGAAGATTAAAAAGAAAATGTTTTTTTCAATTTGATTTCAAGTTTGTTTTAAAACTTACAGAAACGAAGTGGAACTGGTAAATTACAAATTAGGCCTCGATTTAGATATCGATTTGTGATTGGATTATTTGAATAATGACCGCTTGCTACAAGCTTGGGTATGCCGGCGCTTTGGCAATACCGACATTCAACAAATCAAAGTCAAAATTTGAGGCCTGATTTGAGGCTTAAATCTTCCATCCAAGAACGCATAATTTGTCTTTAACATCAAATTTATTTTGAATTCCTCATCCCTTTATCATTCCAGTTTTCCTTTCTTATTTTCACTTTCATTTCGTTTATCCCATTTTTCTTTCCTTCCCTTTCCCATTTCTTCCCATCAACTCAATATTTCCAGGACGTCAATTCGGTTTTCATGGAAGCCAAAGGAAACAGGTTTACAAGATCTGGATTCAGACACCAGATCGAAACTTATCTCAGGGCCCTCTAATTTCAACCATATCTCGCACATGGGACCAGGTGATGGCCTACAAATCTTGCGAGATCTACCTGTGGTTAGTATTGCTCTTTATTACTAGGCCATGATAAAGGGCATACCATATATCCGTGAAAAACTTTGTAAGAAATTGCACAAATTAGTAAGTTCATTAGACCTCAGTAGACCGTTAAGACCTACAAAACTTTGCACTAATTCGCACTAATTTGTAAAATTTTGCTAGTTACCTTTTTTACGGATATATGTTATGCACACTCTACTATATCGCTTATATTTTCGCTGTCATCATTCAAAATCATTAGAAATTAACATTTGCAGTCCAACATTACGGAGAAGAATAGTTACATGAACTTGACAATATTTTGAATTTTCTTTGTAGGGCGTTCAACGAGACGACGACAGCGGAGCAGGTAAAGAAACCATTGAATAGTTATATAGCTACCCTTTTCCCTGACTTATCAATATCGTTTGATGTTTCAGCTATGCCACGCCAAGGTCCAGTAGGGCCTCGCTCCAAACGTGCTGTCACAGCTAACCCAGCTATGATGAATCGTCCTCACTTACTAGGCGGTAGGGGACGTCAGCAGAGACCTTCCAGCCAAGCAGCGTCTATGATCAATGGCCGGGCTGTTTCTGTCACTGGCGTAGATAGGTAAGTCAACTACTATGATTATCAGTAAATTTTGTCTTGTCTTATCTTGTCTTATTGTCTTAGCTTTAGTCAATCAGCAACAAATAGATTTTCCTCGCATGGACCAGCCACTTAGCTCGACTAGCTATTGCTATTTCTAATTGGCTGTGCTCTTATCACCTGCAATTTCAACTATTATTATTTATATCTGTAAACTATTGAGCACAATAAAGATTGATTGATTGATTGAAATAAGCCGGCAAGATTTAATAGTACAATATCAGGGCCACAGGCCTACACAGTTGCTACCCTCGTAAAACAAGGACTTTCATTTGATTTATTTAGAGGCTCTCCACAGCCGTGGTCCTAGAGCGTAAGCTTTGTTACTCATTCAGAACTGGAGAGAGAAGACTATTGTGGCCCAAAGAGCTTATGATTTTAATTTCGAACTTACATAGCAAAAACAACAGCGAAACAAGGAAGTGCTAAAGAGGTTATTTTTTCGTTTTTATTTTATCTGTAGCTCCTCAGACTCACCCCCGAGTGCGCGCCCACGGTCGTCTTCCAGTAGGTCAGCAGACGATCTCAATGAAGGCAAGAAAAATATCAACGGACCAAACAGACTATCGGCCGATCTGGACTCCTATCAACAGGTAACATAAACAAGACTTTGAATTGTTGTCTGTAGTGAATATCAGACAGCTTCTTTTTCAGTACTCTTCCTTGTTCAAAATAACGACAAAATACAACATAAGACGATTAAAAATCGTTAAAGTATTATTTTTTAATCGATCATTTTTGTCTTCGCGGCATCAATGTCATTTTTGATAGAGCAGATGTCGTATGATTGCAATAAAAATTATAATAAATGTGCCGTGCCGTGGCGGCTTTGTGGTTGGTTGAACAGCAATCTCTTGTTCATTCGACGGATCTGTTTCGTACCGCAATCTTGTTACACTGAGTCATACGAAATCTACTCTCATGTCGTCATTTTGTCACCCATTCTAAGTACCATACGTGCGCTGTGGTTGCTGTAGTATTGCTTATCTGTTCGTAACTTGTCGCTGGATTTTGATGTAAGATTTTCAATAAGTTAATTGGCAATCGTTGATAGTTCTGTGACTCCCTATAAATTCTTCTTCGATATCTTCAGTTTGTGTTTCGTATCACCTGTTTTCTGTATATACTTCCTTCCATCTCGTGTGACATATTACCATTATAAACTGTGCGTGTATTTTTTTAACTATTCTCTGTTCGTTTCGCATTTTGTTTGTTTATTTTCCTTCATTTTTTTTCCTCCGTCAGCAAACACTTCGTGATAGCGCACCCAAAAACGCCTATGACGAACAGAGACAGCTGGATTTGGCACTAGAGCTTAGTAAACGCCAGGTTGCCGCCAGGCTGCCTACTACGTCCTCTAGGGTGGGCAATACGTGCTCTTTAAGCATAAATTATTTCTAGCACCTAGCTCATGTGTTGTTGCTTAATGCTGGTGTAAGCTTGCTTGCTTGCTTTGTACTCGCTGACCTCGTTATTGAAGATATATCCCACGGACCCTATTCGTAGAGCGTAGTAGTTTGGACCTATCTCTGATTCTTAATCCATAACATCAGTTTGTAGCTCTTGGATTTTGTAAGAGTATTTGCTAACTCGTATAAGTTACAGGCGACATCAGGCATGTGTACAACTAATAATCTAATCCTCCTTATCAAACAAACAGTTTCCATAATGCATCTTTAAGCATGCGCAATACACCTAACCATATTAACCGTTATCTGATTTAGGCCCCGTCCACACGTATCCGGAAATTTTTGTATCCGCAAATTTTTTTTTGCGGATACGAAAATGCTTGCGTCGACACGCAGCGTTTTCGAATCGTTTTCACCGTCCACACGTATCCGTTTTCGTAAAATTTGCGGATACGGACACAAAAATTTGCGGACACGTGTGGACGCAACCCGTATTCGCAAAAAAAAAAAAAGTTGCCGATATAAAAATTTCCGGATACGTGTGGACGGGGCCTTATTGTACTTAGCATGATAATTAGCATGTATTTCCATGAGATTCAAAACCTTACTTCATGCCCTCGTGAATTTAACCTGAAATACTTAAATTGCAAGGCGAAGGGGCAATCTATTGCAAACATGGCTGTCAAGTGAGACGTTCATTCTCGGGGTAGTTCTGGGGGGTAGTTAGACAATGACCAACCTATTGGTCGTCGTATGGTGATTGGTTAATTTGGTCTAATATACATAAACAGGGGAGGGAGCTAGGAAGTGAGGAGCTAAAGGAAAACATCTCACCCTTCACCCCTAGGGGGTTTCATGTCTTGGTCAAAGAAAAATATGTAGAGTATGTGGTCATCTAAATTTGTTATGGTCTTGGTTTCAGGATTCACTTAATTTACCCGAGTCACCAAGACACTCTACTGGTAAGTAAATTGTTCATGGTATATGGAGTCATTAGACCATTGCCAGTTATTAGTCTGTCTGTCTGCCACTGTGGTCATTACAATATCTATTATCATTATTCCTGGATACGACAGATTGCATTTTGTTGCTAACACATGAATGCTTATTTTCGTCCAGGTTCTAGCTCAGGGCTAAGTGCTTCTCCAACCCCAAGCCAAGAAGATAATGTGGCGTCACCAGACTGGTAAGGACAAATCTTCTGACCTCACCCTCTTTCTTTAATCCCACACCCCTACCCCCTCAATTCCTTGGGTTATAGATCATCTATTAAGACTGTGCATCGGCGCGTGTTATTCATTTCAATTGAAGCATGCTATGAGGAAACTGTCACGTTCACAATTTCTTTGAACGTTACTTTAGCTTCTGTAGACCTGGTCTGAAGCGCTCTAACACGAGGCTGCAAGCTATAACATCGAGTTTAAAGTCAAAATCCCGGTTCAAATGCTTGTTAAAATCATTAAAATCATGGCATTAAAACGCTTTAAAATGTTGCTAAAATTTAAAAAATAATTAACACGCTAACAAGCAATAACCCATGATTCTGATGTTGTCATCTCCAGATTAACCGGGCTACCGAGAACATCGAGGGCCTTAAAGGCCGTTCACAAGTCATTTAACAAGGACATGACATCACTAAATAAATGGCGGATAAAATAGTGACTTAAAATGGAAATTAATTGCTTGGGTATTTTAAAAATCCTAGTTTAAATGTTTGAATGTTACACCGTCACAGTGGATTGTGACCTAAACTAATGGATAACAGAGCGGTTTTGATATGAGTGGGAAATATTTGTGCACGGCTTTGAAATGGCTTTGCATTTCCGTGTATTTGAATGGCTTTTCATTCAGCAATCGAATGGGTTTCCATCGTACAATTAAGTGGTTTCCATCTTGCAGTCCAATGGCTTCCCAATGTTTGCATCCGTGCATTTGAATGGTTTTCTGTTCTGCAATATTAAATGGCTTTCCATCGTACAATTGAATGGGTTTCCATTTTGCAGTTCACTGTCTTCCCTCTAGATAAATCGTTTCCAAAAATTAAATTAGGTTTTTCCCACTCATATGAAATGTGCTCTATTTTTTCTTTATATTTAACTTTTTTTAATTTAATGATTAAAGTCTGATACGATGGACGCTAATTGTTTTGTTTTGACTTAAACCAATTTAAATGTAGATAAATGCATTCTATACTTAATGTAGATAAACCATAGAAATGGCCATCAAGTCACGGCCAAGTTTTATCAAAAAGATTTACAAATTGCTTGATCTTGAATTGTTTTTAGGTAAACCTCTTTATGCAGCAGATTTTAAACAGTCTCTGACTTTTTATTTATTTTCTTTAACTTCTAAACTTCGTTGAAACTATTGAAAGAGACTTAGATTAAATTTTCTGTAAATTACGACTGATGTATGAACTTCAAATCCACTTGCAAAACCTCTCGTAGTCATACCATGAAGTGCTGGATGTCTTGAGACAAATATAGCTAAAAAGACCCATTTTATTCCCTCTAGTATTATATCCTTCTTAGTGGATCGCTTCTGAAAGGATGGTTATTAGTAAGAAGTTTGAGATAAAAAAGGATTACGTCCACAGTAAAGGGTTCCATAGAACACATGGTCAAAGTTGCGTGCTTGGTAATATACCCCATCCACTCGGGGGTAATGTGTTCTCATTTCAGACCGCGTTCTTATGAGTAAAATTTGATTGACTCTTTGAGTACTACATCGAGCAGCGTAATAGTCTACTTCGACGATACGGCGGCCCTCTTGGATCCAAAGGCATTATGGGGCGTCCAGGGGGCAAATATAGAGCTAATGTGGGGCTTGATGGTTCCCCCCCTGTTTTTACGCATGTCATTATTACAGCCAAGAACGGCACATCGATCCAATTAAACCCATGAAAGAAAACACGTGAGACCCTATATATTATCCGCCATCTTTGAATTATTTTGATAAGTTGGCCGCCGTATCATCCAAGTAGTCCATTGGACCTATCCATTTCCGTGTAATGCTTTTGTTTACGCCAGTTACTTATGACAAAGAGGTTTTACATGTGGCGTAATATGTGAAAAGGCCTAAATTATCCTGTGCTTAACCAGGAAAAAAATATTAAAAGAAACAAAACGATAGTGGATGAGTATGTGGCTATTTGTTTAAATAAAAATGACTAAATGGAGTAAAAACTTTGCTTATCTTGCTTTAATTAACCCTAAAGCAATACTAAACAGCTGAACAGAGGAGCAAAAAGCTTTGGACAAATCCAACTGTATTCTGATTGGCTAATACACTATGAAAAGTTAAAACAATACGTCGTTTCCATGATGATGGCGTTATTTTGGGGATTCTGGTAATGGTGAATGTAGTAAATGATGTTACGATGCAGCATTAAACTAGGGACCAAAAGTCTGGCTCTCATCAGTTGGATTCGCCCAGAGCATTAAACCAAAAGGCGTGCGGGCTCCTAGGACAGATATAATGTTGCTTGCAAGCTCGCTCTTGTGCCAATGGGGTCTGACAGCCGAGGAAAGATTTCTGGGAGAAGGATTGGGAACCTGTGAACATGAGGCTTGAGCTTTCAGTCCCGTGTACACCCCCCCCCCCCCCCCCCCCACACACACACACACGAGTTACAACTTTGCTTTTTTACTCTACATTGGTATTATTATTATAACCCTTTTTCTCTCATCGGCTGTGGTTTCACTAGGACAATTTAAACTAGCTTGAATATAACACCGGAAATAAGGCAAAGTTAAACTACCTAGCAAGATGGTTTAAGTTGTCCTACCAAGTAAATGGGCCAATCACAGTGTTATTCTTGAAAGGTGGTTGTCGGATTGAAACACCTCCAGGAATTTTAGGCAAGTTAACATTTCTAGTGAAAACACAGCCATCATCTTATTTTTTCGTGGTTACATATACCATATTTCCTCTATTAAGCTCCCTGGGGGATTTGTCTTTTTCAGTGCTTTTTCACTGGGGGCTTAATATATAATTTCCAGATTTTTGGAAATTACTTTTGTTAACAATCTCGACAGGAGAAATGATTTTCAAAGGCCTGCCAATGTTCCTTGGGGGATTATGAGAGGC